AAGGGCAGGGGTTGGATTAGATCCTGCAACATCTAGTAGATGATTGACCGATGTGGGGGGTGCAGTGCCAAAGACTTGACCCATGTTACAAGGAAAATAGGCACGTGCAAAGGGACTAAGAGCAGAGCCCGGAGCCAATGCAGCGTGAGGTTCAGAAGTTTTGAAACAACGAGGGAAAATTGCCTAGTAAGCCCTAGGAACTACCTGGGGTTACTAGGAATAACGGCCAAAAAGTGTTAGAGAGCAGGTTCAGGCTGGACGTCAGGAGACCTTACTGTACTGTACAGTTAGGGCTGCCAGGCTGTGGATTGGGCTCCCAAGAGGGGTGGTGCTCTCCCCTACCTTGGGGGTCTTCAAGAGGAGGCTGGACAGATATTTGGCTGGGGTGTTATGACCCGAGCACCCATTCCTGCCCAGGGCAGGGGGTCGGACCTAATCTATTTAGGTCCCTTCTGACCCTAAGCACTATGATACTATGAAATGTTTGGATGCTTTACAGAGCAAGGGAAAATAATTGGACCGAAAGGCATGGTGTTCTGAAGTTCAAAACCTCCTATGCTGACGTGGGGCTACTTAGTTGGCAACTTTCATGTCTTGTAATATGGCTATTTTTGTATTAACCAGGAATTATTCGTACTCTTTTAGTGAGAGGAGCCTGTTGCAGGTTAATTCTAATCTCGTTTGTCTGTTTTCGGTACTGTAATGTAATGCTCAGTGTGTTTTTTTTTCATTGTGTAATCTGGAAACTGCTGAATGGATATTTTTTTTTTTTCTTTCCCAGTTTCGCAAATAAAATTATTTCTGGGCCAAGAGCAGTTGTGGAAAATTCCAGTCTCAAAAAAATTCATTTTTAGAAAATTCAAGGATCTGAATGTTTGAGTCCAGAATGGAAACCATGTTTGCAGCCACAAGTCTTGACAGCTCATTGAAATCCCTCAACAAGGGTTTGGGTATCTGACCAGTCAAAAATACTTGCAGAATTCCTATAGGGGTTGTTTTTGCAGGACCACAATAGCCTTGTTTTGGAGTGTGTGTGAAGAAACCTTCACTCCTGCCTTTGTTAACAGATGACACCAAGATAATTAAGCAGTAGTGAGGTGATGGTATTGCCACGATACTCCTGGAGACATGCAAAAGGCAAGAATTCTTGTGGGTGATGTCTTTTATTGGACCAGCTCTGTGGTCCAGTAGCCGATGTCTATACCAACCCTACTGTTGGTCCAATAAAAGATACACTGGTAAGAATTCTTGTGGGTGACAGTTAGAAATGTCTTCTTAATAACCAACCAAAACTTTTCTTGTTGCAATTTAAGATTGTTAATTCTTGTCTTGTTTCCTACAAATCCTATTCTGTCTCCATTCTCTTTTTAACACCCTTCAGGGCTTTGAAGACAGTTACCTAATCCCCTCCGTCTTTTCTTCTCCAGACTAAATAACGTCAATTCTTCTAGTTTTTCCTCTTAAGTCATGTTTTCTGAAAAACTTCTATGAAAAAGACAAGTCTTAACGGAATGTGTGGAGTTGGAGGCAAGCAGATCTAGGACTACATTTTGGTAGTCCTAGATGTTAGTGAACTTTGATGTTTTGTAGAACTATAAATGTGCAATAAAGGGAACTTGTGACATTTTTAGGGATTACAGTCGAGCAAATTATGGAAGCACGGAAAGTTGTAGACATAATATAAATGTTTACCAAATAACGATAAAATGTATAGAACACCACAAATGTTTGCTTAGCACCACAAGTCTTTATAGTGAAAATAAAAGTACTGTCCTTGCTTTAGGGTTGGGTTAGGTATGATATAATGCATAATGAAATGATACCAGGGTTGGGAAGGGAGGCTTATTCTTTGCATTTTATCATGTTACATATGCACATCAAAAAGCCAAAGGTCTATTCAAGTCTGGCAACCCTTTGGGCTAGCATGGTTGAGATGTGTTTCTGAAGCACATGACGTACAAAGGAGTAATGTGACTAGCATCATGACTTGTCCTTTTTGATTCTCCTGCAAAAATGACCGTTTATAGATGGGTCAACTAAAAGCAGCCTTCAGCATGAGTCCAGAATAAGGCCTGCACTTCCACTGCTCACACCATAGTAAGATGCCTTAATTGTTCTATCACTGGGCATAGACACAAGTGGTTGGAAGAGATTTCCAATCGCATTGTAAATTTTGGACTTTACACAAAATGCTTACAGTTACATTGCGATCAAACTTAACAGATGCTTGGCGTTTGCTGGTGGGGTCTTAGAGCCACCATGTACTGGCCGAGGCCAGGAGGCAGGGCACTCTCCCATGCCTCCCAGCGTTGTGTGTCCCAGGCTGGGGAAAGTATGGAGAAGGGTTAGATGTAGCCCCATCCCTGGACTGTCAGCAACAGCCTTTCATCCTAGCCCTGCCTCCTCCCTCTGGCCAGCAGAGATCCCAATGGCTTGGGGGAGGGAAGTGGGGGTAGGAGCTCTCTTACCCAGTAGTGGGAAGTTGCATCCTGGGCCTGGCTACCTCTGCTGGGGTCTTGGAGGTGCCAGCCTCTGCCTGCAAGGCTGGGAGGCTCAGATCCAACCCCCTGCCTCAGCATGGTGGCAACAGTCTCTGTCAAATGCTGGCAGGTGGAGTTGGGGGTTGAATCCAAGCCCTAACACCATGCAGGCCCAGCTTGGCTACCCTTGCTGGGGTCTTGGGTGGGGGGTGGAGCTTACCTATGCCTGTGACATGGGGAGGCCTGGATTTAACCCCCTGTCCTGGCTGCCAGTGCTTTATAGTAGCCCTTGCTGCTATGCCCAGGCTTCTGTCAAGAGCCAGCAGCTGGGGTAGGGGGTTGAATCCAAGCCCCAAGTTGTGCAGGCCCAGCCCAGCTACCCGTGCTGGGGTCCTGGGGGAATGCCGTCCCATGCCCACGAGGCAGGGAAGTTTGGATTTAACGCCTCACCCTGGCTGCTGGTGCTTGACAGTGGCCCTTGCTGCCACTCTGGGGCCACTCAAAGGCTGGCAGCTGGGGCAGGGTGATGAATGCAAGCCCCAAGGCTGCCTGGGCCTGGCCCAACCTGCACCCCTCCTTACTGGGATCCTGGTGGCGGGGGAAGGGTGCCAGCCCATGCCTATACCAAACTGATTGGCAATGTAACGGAGGCTGCTGGGAGTTGCCAGCTTCAAGACTGCAATGTCTACCCATTGACACATGACAATGGCACATAACTATATCCTGGGATGTGGTGTGGGGACCCCCTGGGTGGTGATGTCCATGAAAGTGTCCCATTGCATGCAGAAAGTCTGGAGCCACAGTTCGTCATCCCAAGTACCAAGGATGATCTGCTTCCACTAGTCAATGTGGATGGGTTGTGCCCAGACCCTGGTCTTGATTGTGTGGAGGTGTTCCTAGAGCACCTTGGCATTTATGGCATCTAGGATGGCCTCATCATCATCATTGTCCAGGAGGATCCTGGAGGCATAGTTGAGGATGCTCGGCAGGGAGAGGAGGGGAAGTGGAAGTGGTGTAGATGCACCAAGCCATCAGTCCTGCGTGTTGGCAGCAGGGTATGTGCTGGGGCTTCCCTGCATCAGCTTCATCGGCTGCATCGGGTTCAGCTGTGTGTCCATGATGTCCTGCATCCTACAGCAAGAGTCATGCAGAGTGATCAGCCAGACCCAACACTGTTCCTGGGTTTCCCTGCTTGAGTGTGGGAAGCAGGATGCCAGGGCGTGGGATGGGATGGCTGGGCCACACCAAGAAGACATTGGGATCTTTCAGGAAGGAAGGATTGCTGGAAGTAGCATGGGATTCATAGAAGTGTGGGTCCTGCTATGTGCCTGCTCTCCTTCCAGCAGCTGTGGGAGAGCCCTCTGTTTTGACCAGGGGTTCAAATGGTCCGGACATTCCCATGACCTCCCAGCAAGCACTACTTGATTGTGAAAAATTCCCCCCTTGCCTCCGGTGAATGTCCATTATCATATCTGCCACACCTGGGAGGGGAGTCCCCGAGCCCCTTCCACACGTGGGAATGAATGAATGCTGACTGACTGTCTCCAGGCAGGTGGGAAAGAAGAGACTCTGCCTCCTTTGTATGGCAGACCAGGGACATGGCACTCAACCCTTACAAGGAACTGCATAGAAGTTCCCTAAGGTACTCTACAGCACCTTCAGCTGATAGCTGAGTTGGTGAAGGTTAATTTTTCCATTGTAGCTGATAATTACAGCTGTGTGTCTAGAGCACCCTGGTGAGCAGTCTGGTTCCTGTGCTGTGTTGCCAGCCCAAGGTTGTGGCAGACTACAGGTCCTGGCTAGGAGGGGGAGGGGGCACTGGGGAGCAGTCACAGGATGGTGACTCCTGCTGCTGCTGTCATGGCAATGCTGTGTGCACAGCAGGGGCCTGAGTGCCAGGGCTGCTGTGGAGATGTTGGACTGTGCGTAGGTGGGGTAAGATGCCATGTGAGGGGCGTTCAACTCTGCCAGGCACCAGGTGCCCTTGCAAAAGCGGCTTCTCCCTAGCAGCCACGGGAGCTTGGCTGCCTGGGGCCCACCGGTGCTGAAGTAGTGGCATGCTCTGGGGCTCCAAATGTATGTGGTGCCACTGTCCATACAAGGGTCCACCCCACCTACCCGGGACGGCAGCACGGGCTGTGTGGGGAGTGGGGCTGCGGGTAGGAGCTGTGGGCAAGGGCTGCAATGTGCGTGGGAATAAGGTGGTTACGGCCTTCCTCATCAGTGGCCAGAGTGGGCAGGCAGTGCATGTGTGTGTGAAATGTAAAACAAACAAAAAAGTTTATTTATGTCAGTAGTTTAAAATACCCTGCACTATTACTAAATATTGGTCATCGGATCGGCATCAGCTGATATGGTTGGTTAATCAGTGGCTATTGGCATCAGCCAAGAACATCTTTATTGGTGCACCCCTAGAGTTTTCCTCTCTGGTCTACGCTTTACTTATGCCATATTGTCTTTTTGGAGTAAAGAGACTTTGTGTTGAACTTCTGCCCTGAGCGCTCATAACTGCTCATATGATGTTTAAACATAGCATCTTCAACAAAATATATTTGTACTAATTTTAAATCTTATTTTTGTTGGCTAGTTTGAAAAACCTGGGGCGCAGGCCAACTTTGACTACCCTGACATGGCTGAGGAGGCAGGTAATTTAACAACCATGAAGGGGGTTTTTTTATTTGTTTTTTTTTTTTTTAAACATCTTAAACTTATTTTGAGTTGTGTAGATTATCTCTCCCATAATACAAAGACAAAGAGAAAACCAATGCATGTAAAATGCAGCAAAATTTAAAACTGATGGAAGGAAATACATTTGTATATAGTGCATAATTGACTTACGGAAATAATTGCTTCATCTTGTAGTAAAGGTATAGGATTAAAATGTATTATAAATCTATATGAATAATATGTAGTTGCATTAGGTAAAATGAATGTGTATAAGGACTATCAAACTTCATAGAAAAATATAAAACATGATTGAACTATCAGGAGGAAACTGTTTTATGTAACAGTAATGCAAAATTGTCCCTTCTCTGTGGTATTTCGCACTACCCATTATCAGCCAAAGTACTTGAATCATTCATGTGATACAATTATGAAATTCCTGTGGCCTATTTTTTTTTCCTGTATGGAGGTAATATGTATTATTAACCTAGCTATTGCAACACAATGTGACTGGGGAAACTATTTGGGATACATTACAGATCTTAAATATTTATCATATTTCAGCATTATCATCTCATCTCTAAACCTTACACAGGTAATTTAACGCTTCTATAGAAGTATTTATTTATTAGAGAAGATTTATTTTACTATAACAGGGTCCTACTCCAGGGGTGGCTGTAATGCCCCTACCATACCCTCTTAGCCTATTGCCCAAAGGAAGCAAGAGGACATCTCTTCTCCTAACCTGCCACATTTTGATGAAAGGATACTTTCAGAAAAAGCAGCTTGCCACAATGCTCCCCAAGCAAGATCTCACTTGTGAGCACCAGTGTCATTACTTATCACCTTAAGGACTAATTTTACAGCCTCTGAACCTCCCCTACAGCCATGCCAGTGCCTCATAGGTATTTCCAGTCATCACTTAAGTGGGAGCCTTGCTCTACACCAGGGGTAGGCAATGTTCTTTGGCCGGAGTGCCAAAAAACACCACAATGCCTACCTTGGAAGGTGCTGGAGTGCCGGCATGGCAGAAAAACAAAATGAGGGCAAGGGGTACATGGCAGGATGCCCTGCCACCCCGCAGCCTGGGCTCTGTGGCTGCCAGCAGCTACCCCAGCTCTGGGTAGCTGCTGGAGCCCGGGCTGCTCCCAGCAGGGTTTGCAGCATCCCAGCTACCTCCTGGGAGTAGCTTGGCGGCCGCCCCCAGGGCCCGGGCCCAGCTGCAGCCGGGAAGCTCCAAACAGCTGTGCCGGACTCTGGCATCAGCTCCGCACTGCCGCGTGCAGCCGTGCTTCGGAGGGAGGGACCTCAGACAGCACAGCCCCAGTCCCTTCCCCCGCTCCTGGCATGGAGGTGATGAGCCCAGTGCAGCTGTTCGTAGTCAGCCTGGGCTCTGGGCAGCGGCAGCAACCAGCAGGCAGGCTGCAAACAGCTGCGCTGGGCTCCACAGCTAGCTCCGGCATCAGTTCTGTGCTGGCGGCGACTGCACGGGCACCTCGGTGTGGGCTGCGCTGCCCCGCTGTCCGCCCCAAGGTGCACACGCAGTCGCCACCAGCACGGAGCTGATGCTGGAGATGTGCAGCCTGGCACAGCTGTTTGCAGCCTGCCTGCTGCTTGCTGCCGCTGCCCAGAGCCCGGTCTGGATACAAACAGCTGTGCCAAGCTCATCACCTCTGTGCCAGGAGCCGGGGAGAGACTGGGGTTGCGCTGCCTCAAGCCCCTCCCCCACCGCCTGCTCCGAGGCGCACCTGCATGTGCTGGCGCGGAGCTGATGCCGGAGCCTCCCGGCTGCAGCCGGCCCCGGCTCTGGGGGGGTGCTCCCCGGCAAGATCCCGGGCTGTTCCTCGCACTGCAAGCCCTGCTGGGAGCAACCCGGGCTCCGTCCCTGACAGCAGCTACCCGGAGCCGGGGCTGGCCGTGGTGTGCCAAGCAAAACGGCCTCACGTGCCACGCTCGGCACGCATGCCAGGGGTTGCCGACCCCTGCTCTACACTATCAGGCCACGTTAGGCCTCCACCCCCTTGCTGGGGCCTTGGCTATCCTGGCCTCTGCCCTGACTACTCTGGCTGGTCCCCTTGGCCTAGACCCATTATACCGGATCTGTCTCTTCGGGCTCCTGCCTTTGCTTTGCCCTTTTGGGGCTATTATCTCAGCCATGCCCAGACTGTGGGCCCTCTAACCTCAGTCTCTACCCTTTTCTGAGCTGTGGGCTCTCTAGTCCTGTTGCCACCCCTCTTGGGCTCGTGGGCCTCTGACCCCAAGCTCTGCCCCTCTCTGGGCTGTGGGCTCGTTAGCCCTGTTCCAGCCCCTCTTGGGCTATGGGCTTTTGGCCCCAATCTCTGCCTCTCTAGGGCTGTGGGTTTGCTAGCCCTTTTTCTGCCCCTTTTTAGGCTCATGGGCCTTCTGGCCCCAATTGTCACCTCTTCCTGGGCTGTGGGCCCCCTATCCCCAACCTGTACCTTGAGCTTGACCACTGTCAGGGCTCACGGCAGTCAAGTGCCTCTCGGGCACTAATGAGACCTCCAAACCATCCCTTTCTAGTTCCACCCAAACCACTGGTTAAACTCAAACCAACACCATAAGCTCTCTTGCTATAACTAAACCTTTAGCCCCCTTGGCTGTATACCAAAACCTTCTATCCAGCTTTGGGCCTTAGTCTGCTGCTAGCTCCCCAGCTCCTTCACTTGCTGTCTCCCAGCAAATCATGCTCACAGTCCAGCAGCAGCAGGCAACTCCCTGCAGAGCTCCTTTCCCTTCAGCTTTCAGGACTAGACTATTTGCTATGCCTCTGGCCTGAGCTTTATATGCCCCAGAGCCCAGTCCTCCCTGGACAGCATGCAGGTCTCTCTAACATGCTTTGCCGATCAGCCTGCAGGATGGCCTACGGCAGCAGAGCTGTGCAGCCGTTCTCTTGCTGCTTACCCTGGTTACTTGCTTGTTAAATTATTGCTGTAGGCACATCTTAAAAGAGCTCTGGCTGCCTATTACTCTGTTGCTAACTCCCCTCTTGACTGTGTGAGCTCATTTTGCTCCCTTTTTCCTCTTTCAATAACAGGAACCATAGGTTCCCTGTTACATTACTTATAATAAAATCATCTATAGATTTCTGGTATAGTAATGAGCTGCCAAGGTTTAATTTATGACGTGACTCTTTCTTTTGAATCCTAGAACTTATTTTGGTGGGGTTGCATCTAAGCTTTTTTCCAAGAAATAAGAGCTACAGCTAATAACAATATCATAGAACTTTTTATATTAGGGCATTACAAAAGGCTGAAGAAGTCCTGGTCCTGAAAATACGTAATACACTTGCACTTGATTTAAATTCTCAAATTGTTATTCTATAAACTTTGTTTGAGACACCTTTACCACATTCGTTTTCTACTAAAGTTTTACAGCTGGTTTTTATTTAAATCTTTCTAGGGAAGAAGGCTTTAGCTGATGCAGGTATTCCATATTCAGCAGTGGAGCAAGCATGTGTGGGTTATGTTTATGGTAAGTAATGCTGTCTGGCTAGAGTTCTAGTTTGCTAGCATCCGTGTGATTTAATTTCATGTATATGAGGTGTCCCACTGACTTTAATGGGTCTACACACATGCTTAATCATCTGTAGAAGACTGAAGGGCTGAGAAATTCGATTTTTTTTTTTTTTTTAAATGAGCACTGATTCACATCTTAGTCAGTTGTAGGAAGTTATACTTCATGTCCTGTTGTGATTTAAGGTTTTGTGAGAATTTGTATTCATTGTGAATCTGTCTTCCAGATATTTATGTTTGTGCAGGGCTGTTCAAAGATCACACACTCCTCTTCCTTTTAGTGTGTCCATCCTAATTGTATTTAATTTCTGGGCCAAGAAAATTTCCACATATTGGAAATTATACATCTGAGACAAACTTCTATAATGCTATGAACATAAATATCTGGAAGATGGATTCTAATACAGAATATTTTAGGAACATATTTGCAACCTGGCAATAATGAATGGACTGATTGACGAATATGGGGATAAAAGTGCTACCTCGGTTTACTTGTGGTAATAAGGTGAATTGGAGAAACCTCTACAAAGATTTTAGAAATGTTTAAATCTGCTTAAATAGAATTCAAGTAGAATATCATGTGAACATGGTAGGGAATTTCTTATTGTGAAGCTCATGTGATTCTGCACCTTCTAATTGCATCTTTCTATAAAGGTGACTCAACCTGTGGGCAACGGGCTATCTATCACAGTTTGGGATTAACTGGCATCCCTATCATTAATGTCAACAACAACTGTTCCACTGGATCCACTGCTCTGTTCATGGCCCGGCAACTGATTCAGGGAGGTAAGTATTTTTGTTTAGAATGAATGAATTACTTTCTTGTCTAGAATTCAATTAACAATGTAATACACATGCTTAATTAGTTTTGTGAATCTCTCTTGGGGTCAGTAGAGTAAAGGAGATTTAAAAAATCATATGTATTCTGTTTCTATACATTCTCTGCTTCCCTCTGACTGGGAAGGATGATCAGTACTACTTAGGCCAGGGGTTTCTTCCACCTCCCAACATGAGTATCAGATTTTGATTTCCAATTTTGCTGGAAAAACTTCCTGTTCCTGAAGGACTGAAGCTTAGTGAGGTTAGGGCATCATGAGAGAGCTGAACCTTCATATGGAGGGATTTCTATTGAGATTGTTTTAATGCCTTTTTTTAGTTTTGTATAGTGTCAATCTAAACTCCTTCTCTTTGCTG